ACCTGGGACATGATGAAGCCACAAGACTCATAGATTGAGATAAATAGTACCTTAAAACAAATTTTTTAAATATCAAAATTTTGATGGAAAGGAAAACAAAAAGGAATGACATCAGGTACTACTCAGGAAAACAGCAACAAAAAGGAACTTATTTACCCCTCCAGATAGCCAAATAAGTGACTAAATGATCATTGTAGAAGTAAATTTGCAGAAATAATTAGTTTTGCAAAACTAAGGGCAGATTGATTTTCAGTCAAGTGAATCGATTGTCTATGAAAAATGAGATCAGCAGTACTTCAAAATTTGTAATAGTTTAGGTAATTTTCAAAAGTAGAGTTAAAGAAACGTGTGATGTATTCCGATAGAATTCCAAAACTTGACTATTATCTCCAATTAATTATAATTTAACTGTGATTAAATTACATGTGAAGCTACAAGAGTGAACTAAAACCTGCCTTTGAGTGCATTGAATTAGGAAAAACACTGCTATTGTTGGTTCCACAAAGAAGAGATTATAAATCTAAATTGTAGACAGGAAATCATGTTTGCTGTTATGAAATAGCACTGTCAAGTCAGGCCCTGAACCCAGGCTCTTGTCACTGAGAAACCACTCCCAGGCTTTCTCTCTCCAACACTACTTTTCTGCACTTTTTTCTGGGCTTCACATTCATTTTCTCACTGTTTTTAACCCAACGTCTGTGAGTTTTTTATTGCTCCCCAATGATGACATCCGATCTCAATGTAACCACACACCTCTTTCCTCAGCACTGTTTGTCACAAACCATTATAAATTATCATGCGAGAGTTTGCATTGCTGGGAAGCCGGAAAAGTTTCATAAATTCTAACTACTGTATCAATGGCATTCTTGTTTATTACACAGATACAAAGTTTTATGAGATTCAAGATGTCCGCCTTCCCACCGAGGAGAAGTTTGGCAAAGTAAGATTTAGCTAGTTCAGTTTAACACTGAGCACGATGTACAATATACAGCCAATATTTCTTTTGGAGAAATGGCCCATCATTTTTTCCGTCTTTCTTTTCTATTTTAACAGTGTTTTGAGGCTGCTCAAGCATGCAGGATTTTGGTGGGGCGAACTTTCATTCCCTCAACAGCGTCTGCAGAACACGCTGGAGTGTCCTCTCTTACATCAACATAACCAGAAATCCTAGCCAGGGCTTCGTCCTACAGGTGTTCTGTTGTTCTACTGACTGATTCACTGCTTGATTGATACCACATCCTGTTGGATAAAAGTGCGGCATCATGCCTAATGACATCATATTACTGTAGTTTCAGTGTTTATAATGAACTCAATGGAGTGGTGGCATTAATGCAGATTTTAAGATTACACAACAACTCACGCATTTACTCAACTTAGGAAAATACTCCCCGTTTCAGCTCCACTGTGCGAAAGTAACACTCATTTTGGAAAGTACAGCCCATGGTTTAGTCATAAAGCAAGTCACTCTTACTGCCAGCTACTCGAAAAGTTCTGACTATATACTGTCTTGTTAAAGTTGTGAAATGATGGTTTTTACATAATTATTTTAAAAAATCAGTAAAAAATTTAAGACTTTTCCCTGCCAGAAGTATTTGGCTGGTCTGTGTAATGAAGTATCCACCTTACGTACACTCTAGGAAATAAAATCACTTACTTGCTTCGAAGGCTGTTTCTCAATACGCAAATATGCTAAGAAACTGATTTCTTCAGCTTTCTCATGGTGAGAGTGGACTCTAATACTGACAACTGAAGAGAAAATGTAGGGTGTATTATATGGGAATCACTCCCATTATTGGGTGTTTACTTTGACATATGTTTACTTTCATATTTCCCAATGTCTGATCAATAACCAAGTTGTTGAGGGCATAATGACAGTGATGACTTGGGTGGTGGGGAGCATTAACTTTTCAAAGGCTTTCAGATGAGCCCAGTCATTTATACTACCAGTAACTTTGACATCAGTATAGCACGTATTTCTACGCCATTGCACCTATGTGGTAGCTGAAACAGGGAAAATTAAACACCCCAAGTAAGACGAACAGAGTGATCTTTCTTTTTTTTTTGGTACCAGGGATCGAACTCAGGACCTTGCTTGCAAGGCAGGTGTGGTGCCACTGAGCTACACCCCCAGCCCTAACAGCATGTTCTTAACAGGACGAATAACAAAAAGCCCAATAGCTCTCTGAACCTAGTTTTGTGGTGTTACCTTGCATCTACTTTTGTAAATGGCCCGATATAAATTACAAACAGCATATTTTTAGGCATCTCCTACAAACTTTGACATCTATGAATTTGTTCTTTAGAATTTCTGGTGTTTCCCAATTTTCTAGGCGATTCCAATGCAAAGATTTTAAGGTTGTGGATCCTGTTCACAGTAGGTTAAGTATTGTGCCACATTTGATTCCCATCTGATTTGCCATTCATGCCAAATCTCAACTGTGACCTTCAGCTATGACCAGGGGTCACATGGGTCACTCTGGAAAGGCAGCAAAGGCAATGTCTTAGACTGGCCTTTCTACACCTTTGCAGAAATTGTCATTGATAAAAATATCAGGTAGCAACGCTTCAAAAGACAACAAAGGGGTATTTTCCATGAACGTCATCTCCAGCGACTTCAGCAGGCTAAATGTATCAATCTGCCAACACTGTCAGGAGGCAGCACCTTCAAGAGCTAACAGAGCCTTTGTCTTGACAATGAAGACGTCACCTAACTCTATAGCAAAAACAAACAAACAAAATTCCCATCATCATAGTATTGCTATGGAAACAAACTTCTTTGCTGTTCCTTTCTTGACCCTCTTGCTGACATCACAGAAAAATCTGTAAAATTACAATCATCCTTTACCTTAATATTTTTGCCAAAAAAAAAAAAAAACCCAAAAAGGTGTTTCTCCAATCCCCTCATACTGTACCCACACCATTATATGACAAATAATGATTTAAAGTATGCTGTGGACCAGGCACTGTTGTAGGCTCTTAACTAAGGTTTCCTTACCACAGCTCCCCCTCCAGCTGTGTGGGGTCTGTGCCAGCTCTCAAGAACCAGCGCCCATGTCTCCGTGCAGGCCCATGTGTGGGGACACACACACGTAATAGGACCCCATATGGCAGTGTTATAAACCAGGAGCTGGGCCGTCCTCTCCCAAGCGCCACTTGTTGAACATTCACCAGCACACTCACTGCCACTCATAGCTAAGGAGTATTCTGAGTCTCTATTCTATGACACGTTTGCCTGGTCATGATTTCCTGATCAGGAATTAGTAAATATGAGTTTACTGAAATCTAATAACACTTTATTTTTGCAATAAAGTTATTACTTGATCAAGCTTCACCAGAGTGTTTTTTAAAACAGTATCACCTATAGCAGTTTAAGCATTGTCAAAAGGCGAACATAAATAAATAAATAAATAAATAAATAAATAAATAAATAAATAAGTTGATCAGGGCAGAAGAAAGAGGGGAGAGAGAGAGAGAGAAGGAAAGAAAGAAAATAGATAATTCTCTAGGTTATCTAGGTTTCTAGCACTTAAAAAACCCCCATAAAGTGCCTTAAGGAGCTGGGGTGTAGCTCAGGGGTACAGCACTTGACAAGTATCCTGGATTTGGCCCCCAGCACAATTTGAAAACCATGTAATGAAGTCCCTGTTTCCTAGCAGTCACTGGAACACTCTGCTAATGGCAAATTCCACATAAGTTTATAAAGTCAATACAGTGCCTCAAAGCACTTTTGAATCACAGACTAACAAATTGGAATCAGCATGATTTTATTGCATTGTAATATATGCTGATTCTTTGGGAATGGATCATCAGTCTATGGATTTATGCTAATTCTTTGGGCACCCAAATGTTGAGTTAATCAGATGGCCTCATTTTCTTAACCCTGAAAGCTACTTTACTCTGCCAACTCAACAGGTTGCCAAGTGATTCCTACAGGTGGGGACATTTTCATACTATTTTGTTCTTCTCTAAAAGGATCCAGGCCGTGAGAATAAACCAGCCTGCATCATAACACTGTAAATGATTATACCAAACTTTTCAAACTTGCAAAAACATAAGTCCCTGAAAATCACTTTAGAATTGACAGTGAAATAGATCATTTTCCTCTGATAGGAGTATACATGTACAAATAACTACACATGCATGTGAAAAGCCATGTGTGCATATATACACATGCCTGTATGTATATAAACTTCACGAAGGATCAGCACTCGGTTCAGGTCCATGGAGACCAGACCATGGGCGGAGAGGCAAAATGGAGTCACCTGGAATGGGCAGAGACAAGAGGCTGGGTGGAAATCAAGACAGTTCCGCCTGCCACCTGCCATGTAAAAGTACAATTTCCACACTGCGAAAAGCAACATCCACGCGCTGATGTTTTCAAGTAAAGTGAAGAAATACCATTTAGACAGCCTCTATGGTAAAATGTTTCATAATAATGAGATCTGACATGAGTCACTGTTTAGTGACTTAGCAATAGGAACAGCTAGCAAGACTAAAGACTGCCTTATATTTGAGGTCCCATATTGATTATACTTTGATAATTACTCTCTAGAATTTTTATGTCTTTCAGTCATTGCTCTACTGTTTGAAAAGCTCATCCAGTTGACCCTATAGACTTTACTCAAGAGTAATTTTCTTTTTTCTTGCCAAACTCAATCAGATAAATATAAACACTGTTCTTAAATCCTAAAATGTGCCATAGATTTGTTTTTAAAATATCCAACCTCACTCCCTTTGGATAGAGTATATCACTGACCCATCATATTTGGTAAAAAATGCAAGACAGAGTTTGGCTTTCTAGTTCTTCAAACAATTTCTGTAAAGAAAAGAATTGTTCACACACATTTCTTAACAAAAGATTTCCAAGCCAAACATGTCGAAGGACTATAAGAGACTACAGTACCATCTGTATGACGAACTCTGAAATCACAGGTTCCCCTACAGACACTGTGGCCACTAGGTGGTGCTGTGGTGCCCTGTTCAAACACTTTCTCACTTACTTGCAATCTCTGTCCTCCAAATCAAAGTGCGGGTTGAAGTTGATCATGATTCTCTGGTACGGGTCCGGAGCCTGAATCAACCACTCACATTTCTCACTTGGGTGATAGGAATGAGGATAACCGGGAGATGTCAGGTACCCGGGACTTTCAATTTTTATGGTACCGCCACATTTATCTGCAATAAAAATAACGTTTTAGTAGATCTTTCCTTGACAACCAGCTAGGTAGTGTAGCTTTAGGTATACATTGTTACCAGTGAGGAAACATTCTGGAACTATTTAAGGGGCGCTTCAAGAGGTTCCCCACTAGCCCTTCAGGTGGCATTGAGAACAGCACTCCACCAAGGTACACTAATCTTAGGAAGGTCAGTTTCAGCAGAAGAGCAACTTGAGATTTTGGAAGACTTTCTCCCACCCCCAAAGTCCCTTTCCAAGAAAAAGATCGTGTAGCATTAAAAACATTAAATCCCCTCAATTGATGTTAACATGGTCCCCTGGGAGCTTCTGCTAGAGTTAATTATCCCCCAAGAAGTGTAATCTCATTAAGTAGCAGGTTCTAAGTGGAAGGTGACTAGAAGATGCTGTCCCTCTTGTGCTGATCCTTGATGATAAGCCCGGGCTGCCACTGATCAGGAAGTGCTGGCTCCCGAGACTTTGACTGGCCTAAAGCCAGAGCCACTCCCCACCTGAGTTGTTGTTGTTTTATCTGCCCATATATTGGAGTGATTTTGAGTTATCTCTGCTCCTGAGATCCAAATCAAGGGAGAAGAAAGTATAGTTGGTGAAGCAGAAATAATTTTGCTTTACTTCTCTAAGTTGTTCAGGCTTGGAGACCAGATCAAAGCAATGGCGCAGAAAGAAAAACAAATAGCCGCGCAGCATTAATTCTAATTACCTACATGTTGGAGTGAAAAAAAAAAAAAAACCCACTGCGGTGAGGTCTTGGGTATCACATATGGTGAGACGCATTCCCACATTCTGGACAAGGCGAGCTCACTAGTTTGGAGCCTTTATTTTAACAAATGAAATGCTGAAGCTGTGTGCTGAGAGCCAAAGAAACCCGTCTGCAGGCTGGAGTCTTGTTCAGCACAGATCCCCACTGTCACTTTTTATGATCAGTTTCACACTGGAGGGCCTCAGCCTGAAACACTGCTGCAGTTATTGGTGCTTAGTTTTAGGCAACACGAATTTGGTACACAGGCTACGTAAGAGAAACAGGTAGACCAGGAAATACATAAAACCTATCAATCGCAAATATTCAGTAATGGCAGGTACAGATTTTAATATTGCACCCAGTAGATTCTCTGTGGAAAGAGACTGGCATTCTTTGCTCTCAGCATGAATTTATGAATCTACAGGATGTTATTACAGGAAAACCAGGTCAAATGGAAATACAAGATGAAGTGCACATCAAAAATGCATAAAGCTACGGGCATTACAGAAGTCATTGCCCATAAATTAAGAAGAAGACAATGTAAATTATATTGTTTTCTTCAATTGCTAGTCATCTGACTTGGTCTCTGAGAGGAGGGGTAGTCATCCACTGGTTCCCTTTGCACTGGCTTTGGAAAGCTTTAGGTTTGCCAAACAGAAATTATATTGCAACTGGTGTTCGGAATCTCAACGCGTGACCATCCTGGATGCAGTTGTGTGATTCTCCCGAGACGTAGGCATTATTGTAAATGTGCAGAAAACTCAGAAAAGTGGCCCCTTCTCATTAAGTCTCCTGCAGCTCCGTACAAACATTACGGCAGTGTCTGGCATCTGTTAGGAGAGTGAAATAAAACAGCCCTGGCCCCGGTCACTTGACAAGAGTCACTTCAGAAGACATTTAGGTGGGGTTGGTACCACACCAGAGCTCTTTAATCTGTGACTTCTGAGAAAGTGACAGTGTAATAAGATAATGCGGACTGCTAGACTCCCTGGCTCTGTTAAATCTCTCCAACAGTTGATTAAGAAAGCAATTTCTAATGACTCCAGACCATTAGTTCTAAATAAGGTTAATGAATTAATTTAGCAGACACTGGTACAGGGAGGAGGTGGACAGGGTTCTAAGAGGACTGCTCACTTACTGAGGCACGGGCTGGCTCTGGCCTCTTCAAGCAGAGTAACATGGCTTTAGCTAGGCAGGCTGGTGACTGGAGCCCAGATTCCCAGCATTCCCCAGATTTCTGCTAGGGAAATTAAGAATGTGTGTGTTTGTGTGTGTGTGTGTGTGTGTGTGTGTGTGTGTGTGTGTGTGTATGTGTGTATGTGTTTGTGCAATTGAGAGCAAAAATCCCCAAAGCTCTCTGCACTGGCTTCCAAAGCCATCCTGTGAACACCCCCGCTGTGGCTGTCTTCCGAGCAGTTGTGAAGGACACAGAGAGGGGTGGATTACTATAATCTCCAAACTCTAACCACTGGAGCTCGAGAATGTTATTTTACTCCCTGCCAGATTATAAAAAGATGCCGCGACTCAGGTTCATTAATGAACTGAACTCCACATTCACAGCGTTTGAGCGTTTCTGCTTCCTTGCCAGCGTATAGAAAAGATGCCACCCACCCCGGTCCATTAATAAACTGAGCTCTATTCACATTCACAAATATTCTTTGCACATCTTTTAAACACGGCTTGGTACCTGGTGGAGGAAGTCTGTGGCTTAAATTATGAAAAAGCACATTAGAAAGATTAACTTCCATCAGGAAGAGGTGATGTAAATTCGCCTGGGTGGAAACCCTTTCCAACTGCGGTCTTGTATTAAAACAATATACTACCGTAAGTAGTGCACGTTCTTTTCTTCTGATTACTTTGAGTGAAATCTAAGCCAGGCAAAAGTAAATATTTGATCATAAGTTAATAATAATTGCTGGAGATTTACAGTCAGGATAATCTCATGCCCTCGCCTTCCCCTACTTTGCAGTTAGTCAAACATGCATACAATCAGATCACATTTTTAAACATATTATTTAGGTTGCATGGTTCTGTTTACACCCCAGCCTTGCATTTACTTAACACTGAGTGGTTTTAAGTGGAAACTGAAGCCGGTGAGGGATTTTCAGGTATCCTGGTGCCTGACATCGTATTCTTTCAGGCACTCCGTGGAACTTTCATTCATACTCCGGGAGGAGCAGGCACGGTTTACAAAGGCGGGAGAGAGGAGGGAGTTCCAGCCACCACCGAGCAGACCAGCCCGCCACGGTCTCCTTCCTGAGCCCCAAGGAGGAAGCAGGTCTGGAGATCGGCAGGACGGCCAGGAAGTTCTCCCGGGGAAGTGTTCATTAACTTTCAGCAACCATCAGATTTTTGAAAGGGAGTCTCATCTAATTGCCTTGGGGAGGAAACATTATTAGGATAATTGGTGCACCGCGGTGGGGAGGCAGCATCTCCAGCTTTTCACGGGAGCAGGAAAGCCCCGCTTGGGGGGAAGCCCGGGGACCTGCGATCCTCCTGCCCTAAGGAGGCGATCTCGGGTCTTTATTCCTCCGCCCGGATAGAAGTTTCCCTGTGTGGTCGCTCCCGTTTCCCCGTGCAGCCCGGCGCGCGTCCCCGGCCCTAGAGGGAGCCGAACCCGGGCCGCCCGGCCG